GCAGACAGCACTTATATTAATACCTTTAGCGGTATGCTTGAATGTAGGTCAAGTTAATAGCACATGGCACTAAACCCAATCAAGACTCCATACTTGCAGGACTCCTTGCATATGCATAGCCTCTGTATAGCGACACACATGCTAATTACTATTTTTGATTAATTAACATGTTTGTTTTGTATTAAGACACAATGGCTAGTCGAACGCCAGGATTTCTGAGTGTGTAGGGCCTTGAATGAGTTTTTAATTGGATTCCTTGACCTATATTCTTGCCTAGGGCTGTAAGTCCGTTTAGTGCTATGTGCGCTGCTGTTGTTCTCTACATTCCTCAAAGACCTATGCACATTCATAAAAATGTGACTGGTTAATCAATCCCCAACGATTCATGTTCCTAACTCTAAGGGTAGATAGTAGAAATAAGGATGCGAAAAAATAGAATCAACCACCCCCTGGGACGGTCACACCCAATTTATGTTATCAATAACCAGAAGGACCCATACACATCCCTAAAGACATGTTTTCAATCCCCATAGCCTTCCGTTCCTAACTTATATGGTCTAAAAGTAGATAGCAGAAATTACAACGTCTAATTAGATTCAACCACCCCCAGGAGCAAACCCCAATTTTAAAAAAAATGCCCTTCCACATCCAAAATAATACTGTAGCTGCGTTTCATGTTTTTAACTCAAATGGCCAATACAATGGGCACATAGCAGAAAAACGTTGTAAAATTAGAATCAACCACCCCCAGGGACAACCACACCCCATGTCACAATAAATTTCCGAAGTGCCCATGCACATTTCTTACGATAGTATATTAATTCCCAACATGTTTATTTTTAAATTCTAAAGATATAAGGGTAGATAGTGAAAAATACGATGTAAAATTACAATCAACCACCCCTAGGGACGGCCACACCCCCAATTTACAAAAAAAAAAAAAATACGAAATCCCATGCACATGCCTAATTTTTTTTATAAACGTTTCTACTTCCTAACTCTAATGGTTTATGAAATTACAATGTGAAATAAGTTTTATATTATCGTCCACCCCAGGAGCAGCCTGGCCAGTTTCAGCATACATACTCGAAGCAAACCCGTCCCCACTCCAATTCTACCTGTTTCGTACTTCAAACTGTTTCAGTGACTTAGAAAAAATCTTGGTTGCAAAATGCGTTGCAGTTGCAAAATGCGTTTTTACGATTTTCTTTGGTTGCAAAATGCGTTGCAGTGGCAAAATACGTTCAGTTGCAAAATGCGGCTCTAGGACCGCATTTTGCAACTGAACGTATTTTGCAACCGGTTGCAAAATGCAGTCGGTTGCAAAATGCGGCTCTACAGAAGTACGGAGAGGAATGGGATTTTGAATAGGAAAAGGGTAATCTATAGGCATAATTATCACAGACGTATACGACCCAGAACGCTACGCGGACTTACGTACTTGCTTTTCCACCTTTTTTGGGATTATTTCAAATGTAATGTCGACCTCGGGAATTTCCGTGTTATCGGACATTTATATTTTTCAAAGCAATAAAAAATTATTATTGTTATTTTTATTACTATTATTTTGTGCTTGATTATACATTTGTTGATTAAACGAAATAGTGTTATGCAACCCATTTTGGATCCTATCTGAAAATAATGATCCGACCCTTTCTGTCCCCCCCCCTCTCTCACTCTCTCTCCCCCCCCTCTCTCACTCTCTACTCTCTCTCTCTCCCCCTCTCTCACTCTCTCTTCCCCTTCTCTCACTCTCTCTCTCTCTCTCTCTCTCACTCTCTCTCTCTCCCCTCCTCTCTCTCTCTCTCTCCCCTCTCTCCTCTCTCCTCTCTCTCTCTTTGACTCTCTCTCTCTCTCTCACTCTGTGTGTGTGTGTGTGTGTGTGTGTGTGTGCCTGTGTGCCAGATGATCTTTCCTCAAAAGAAGTCTATACATGTGAATTAATGTATCCAAGGTGCTCTGTCAATTTAATTGTATTTAACGGCAAATATAGATTTTATTCATAAATGTCTGTAAAACAATATTTCATGCTTTGTGGATTTCTCAGTTAGTTTTAAGTCGTAATAATTGAAAAGTAAAAAAAAAAATCCACAAACGGTTATTTTACAATTTTGAAATCTCTCAGTTAAAATTGCCAGGATATACAGTACATACACAAAAATTGCTGATCTTTTCTGTTACGTGAGCGAAAGCGAAATTGAAGTTTGTTGAAGCCGACGAGCCGATCAGTTTGGAAAACATACCAGACGGATCACTTAATAAAGGGCGAAATGGACAGACCTTCAAAGGACACTTAGGGTGTATTTCCAGAGATTTAGATCGATCCAGGGATTAAAATTTAGATCGACCTAACTCCCTGGGGGTTCACTCTAAATTGCAGTCAGACGAGCGCGCACCATAGTTAATTACCCCCTTATAGCTTTTAGTAGGCGGGACAGACGCTTAAGCCGGCCAAGCTGACAGTAATTAATCTAGTGAGACTCCCCACAGGGATAGATCGATCTAAAAATCTATGGAAATGGGGTGTTAAAGTACTGGGCTTGGATAGTCAGTTCAATGATCAGTCAGGGATACTGCTACGGACACGGACTTCTAGCCCTAATATGCATGATGGACAATGACCACGTGGTGTTCTAAAACAACCACGCTTCTGTAAGTGACGAAGGCTGCCAGGCTGACAGGGTGAAAGAGCTGGTGCTGTACGTGCTAGTTCACTTCATCGTCTTCAACCAATCCTTCCAGGCTCTGCGTTGGCTTCGTAAACTATCGCGCTTCAAAATACCATAATTCATCCCGACGTGTAGGCGTGTCGGTGATAAGGCCACGCCCCTTGCCACGCCCCTGTCCAAGCCCCCAGTCACGCCCTCCTACACGGTAGCTCTGCTTCTCTACCTTGGCACACACGTGGGGGTTCAGGCCCTGGACACGGCACTGGAATGCGGCACAGGGCAGAACCTCAGGCCAGACCTCTGGTTGATGAGCGTCACCGATCCCGCTCTATGGGAGAGGCTTACTCGAGCCCAGTGCTATGGGTTGAGCTTGCTCTGCATGCTGCTGCTCTATTTCCCCCTCCTTGCTTACGGCGCAGCGGCAATGGTGGTGGCCCTCTATCTTCAAAACAGAGCCAATGCCTACTCCGTAAGTTCCGGCAGAGATTGAGCAACTACGAACCATTGAAGGCGGCGGTGGTGTTGTGTTGAGAGAGCGGATCATGTGGAGAATAACTGACACGCTGATTGAAGTGGATTCCTTTGTGGTGCGTATAATGTCGTTGGCGATTCTACTCTACGCCCACACCTTCCGACTGCCGCCCAAGAGCGCCACGTTTATTCACTGGCTGCGGCAGATCACCCAGACGCAACAATTGCATCCGGTTTTGTCCCTCCTTGGCCTCTCATATCTGCTGCGTTTCTCGAGCTTCAGGAATCGTACGCCAAGCTGAGAAGAGAGATAGAGAGTCACAAGGCGCGGACCACGGCTGGGACTTCGCACTCTCTGTCTTCTCTAACTCGGTGGAACGAACATCCGGGTACTACTCTCACTGGCACGGGGGGGGGGGGGGGGGGGGCGATCGATCGCAATTGGATCGTCATTGTCAGCATAAGCTCAACCGCAGTATTATTTTGGCAGATCGTAGACCAGCTGACTGAAATCAACAAGATGGACCACGGTCGTCTGCTGTCTCCCAGCTGCGGAAAGTGGGTCATATTATTCGGGTCGGTTGTCGCTATGGTTGTCGTAATGGCTATTTGCTTGAGACAACGCAGCGTTCAAGGGTTGCGATATCAGATCTCGTTTTATCAGGCTATTTTGGCAAGGCGTCCCCGACTTTGCTTCATAACTTATGGACTCCTAATAATAGGTTACGCGTCTGTACCGTTAATTTTATTCCATATATTCTGCCTAACCGCGCAGGAATGCATTACATATTTTTTTTTTTTTTTCTGAAAGTAATGGCAAATGGTGACCACGTTAATCAATCAGACTAACTATAACTGTGTCATTTTTGTTTACTTCGCTGGGGGCTGCCATTTTTCTTTGTTTCCGGCTACCGGCACATGCGCATTGTTGGCATGGCGTGAGCAATCGGCGCTTGCACCCCGCACACGCTGAGACATTTGCCTCAAGAGACCAAAAATATCAAACACGTGAGATATTTTTCTCAGCCGCGCGAGAGGCAAAAATCTCACGCGCCAAATGCTCACCGTGTGCGGGCCCCTTTACAGCTTGTAGTAGGCGGGACGGACATTTAAGCCGGATTATCTGACAGTAATCTAGTGAGACTCTCCGCTGGTATAGATCGATCTAAAAGCTCTGGGAATAAAGCCTTAATTTGTACATTATTTTTGTACAGATAAATTTTAAAAAGTGGTGACGGGAGGTTTACAAAAGTGGAGGGGTGACTGCACACTTAAGTTACGCGTCACAGTTGGCCTCCACATATTATATTTTCTTTCACTGATGAAGCTGAATAGGTGAATATTGTAGTATAACAAGAAACTGATCCACGGTTTTCTTTATACATTTTCATGTTAAAGCCTGCGAAAGCCAACGTGAATTTGCTCTGTACGGTACTGCAATTAATTCGCCCTTGTAGGCTACGCTATTGCCTTGCAAATTGGTGGTGGTCTGAAGGTCAATTGAAAATCGGTGAAGTGAATTGAAAGATGGGTTTTTATATCGAGCAAACCATGATGAGTTTTATTCACGAGAAATTAGGAAGTGCATTGCCATAAATAATAAAAGCAACCTGTATCCGCTCATCAGATTGGATTTAGAGCGATCATTGGAGTAAAAATATTGCTCATAGCAACTGTACATTCAAAAAAGGTCCATTGCGGATTCCATTACGCCAAATAACCCCGTGCTGACAAGGAGAAATTAAAAAGGAGATGGTAAAAGAACAGTTTGCTGTTATTGAATACAGCTCATAAATCGTTTGACGTTAGACGTCAATAAGGCCGCGTGGACTGATGAAGAATAAATAACTACATCTATACTGACTGTGGAGATAGAATTTATTGAAACAAATGAATACGGATCACCGTTTTCATTTTTTTAACATGCTACAGTTCAGGTACCATCATTTAATATTCGCCTGGCAAATTTTCTTGCTGTTACCCCTTCATGCATTTAACTAAGTAATATATTACGTTAAATTAATTACATAGTGACAGTATGTAAGTGAACAATAGCGCTAGATACATTTATACTAGTGCTTCACTCACGGCACATTATGGTTCGGCAAAATAAACCAAATAACATAACATTTATAGGCATATCTTACAATCTTTATTCCAGTGACCTAGTATACATCTTAACGTGCTGGTGGCGTGTACCAAACGACTTCGTATTAAGACAATTAATCTTCTCTTTCGCGTAAAGCTCTTCTGAGCTCCTCATTGTATTGCATAGTTACTATAAAATCAAAAGCAAGCTTCCCAAGAATTTTCGCAAATATGGACCTGTGGCACTCGACGGTGTCATTATAATTAATGTTAAAACGGTGGTCGCATGTGCAAAGTTAAAGGAGACATTTGATAAACCCTCAACAACAAAATTATGGTGCTATTGGTAAAATGATGTGCAAATACTAAAAAAGAAATTGAGCCAATGAGCACTAAATATTCACCCTGTCTTGAAACAAAGGCACTTAAAATCAGTACTCTTCAAAATTTTTTTCTATCCATGCCTGATACCTTAATCAAACGGCGCACAGAAAAAATAATATGCTGCGAAGCAACGACTTAGCATATCTCTTATTGCCGTAGTATACAAAGCTCAGAAAGTGACATATGTGTCCAGTAGATCAAAGCAATGAACAAGCTCTGTTTTTGTAATCTCCGGGTCTAAACCAAGTGTTAAAATAACAGACGTATATCTTGCGTATGATGTTGTCATCTACGGTCACTGTCACCTGCAATTAAATTATTTAATGAACAGTTGAATTAATATATATGTTATTTTGCTTATATGCTAAGTGATACATGTATCATTTTTAAATTGGTTGACATAGGCACCAATTACGTAAACGCCACGCGGAGAGAGAGAGAGAGAGAGAGAGAGAGCGAGAGAGAGAGAGACTTATGAAGTCGCGGTCTGTTAAGTCTGTGCAGCAGGTAGAAAGTTGACAATGCGTGTTTGAATGACTCGCTATTAAATTTTCACAATACTCAACTACCTGGCGGAGTTTCCAATTATTAACATAGTTTATTTTCTCTTGTCTCAAGTGAATCTCAATCTGTCTCAGTGAACCACAGAGGGGGAGCGTCTTTGTGACCGTATCCAAACTAAAAACAAACACTAATAATAATTGGTGCGAAAAAAAATATTTACTGCATGGTAAATTTTACGAGGAATAGTTTTTGCTTCGCCTTGCCACCACTTTCCATTACTCATGAACAAGATCTGTGGGTGTAATTTAAACTGCAAATATATGGTGCTATTTCAAGAACTCAAATCTCTCAAAAACCTAATAATAAAGAATGGAGAAGACTTACTTTCCACTTTCAAAATTTCCCTGCACCTCGAATTGTGCCCTCTTCAACTTCCCAAATTTTTGAACCCCAAGAGTAACATCCACGCGCTCATCTGTTCCTGCTCCAACCGCCCTAGAGGTTTTAACACTGACAGTGTAAGTGCACCCTAAAAAACGAATATGCTTAATTAGGCCATGGTGTTCTGCAAGCTCCTTTATACAGGATGGCATGTTATTCTGTTCTGAATTTCTTAATTTATAAGGTTTTGGGGATCGGAAAAGAGTCTGCTGTAATTTTTTTTTATCCAGGTACATCTGAGACACATAACAGCGAACTAGGAAAATTTTTGATCATTTTTTAAAAATAATGATATATTCAGAATAAAGTTTTGTTTGTTTGCTTGGTGTATAAAACCAGTGTCGCTTCATTCAAGATCCCCGTTTTAAAAGGCGGGAAATTGTTTGGGTTTGAAAGTCATTATCAAAGGTTATCTGTAGAAGAGATCCCTTTTCTACTTACTCTGGATCCGGTCCAGGCATTGCAATCCTTCGAAATCCTCCGTACATTGGCATTTGTATCCATCCGGTGCGTCGGAATCCGGTATGCATGATCCGCCATTGTAACAGGTAGCCAAGTCACACACTCGGTCTGGAATAAAATAAATGTTTATGTGAAGCTGTCTATTTTAATAACAGAAGTGCAACATGATAAAACCTTAGTCAAAAGATGAACCCACGCTTCCACACTCTTCCGCTTTTAATTGTCCATTGGATATCTTAGTATTGCGTAGGCCTCCTGGCTGAACAATTTGCATGTCACGAGGTTAACGACCCTAACACCAATCATAATTATACCAGTAGCTATCAATTCTGCAGTACTTAGAACCAACCGTCTGCAAACTGCCGTTTTTCTAAGTCAAAATCAAAATGTTCTTCGATGGCATATCCGTCATTTACAACATCACCATATTAGTATGCGTTTGAATTGTACGGCCTAGAGCATCCGCATCAGATAGCCTTTGGAGACTGATGAACTTAATGATTTGTTAGGCAATGTGATTAAATGCCCGCTTCGCCGCTTTTAAATTGGAACTAAGCTATATGCGCTGCTACACATTGTGTAAAATAGCTACAGCCCGAGAGACAGTACTCATGATTAAAACTTCAAATTGAGCGTGCGCGTACATACTTATACACTGTACATGTACCATGCACCATGCACAAGTACTGGTTTGTCGGGGCGGGAATGGAGGGCACGTACCACCTTCCTATGCGCTTCATATTACATTTTTAAATCCGCGCGAAACCCCTCCCTGTAACTACATGGAAGTCCTGGAACAACCATATAATAACAAGGCTTACTATAGGACATGGACAAAGGCATCAGAATCACCATCGGGCAAGTTACACTATCGGGTATGGCACTGAACAAGTTAAAACGGGCAAAATAAAAGCACCTTGGAGTTTGCATTAAAAGTAACATCTCTTTGATTTTATTTTTAATCAATCGATCTCAACTTACCTTGACAATTTCTCCCAATAAAACCTAACTGGCATTGACAAGAATATGTATTTTGCTTGTTCAAGCAGTAACCATTCCCACTACATTCTTGTCCGAAGCAGTGGTCCTCTAAGAAAAAGGGGGAAATAAAAGAGAACAGAAAACCACAGAAACAAAATTGAGATATCTCTCCATCGAGTCCACTTTGTTTGAGAGGATCTGGATCTGGAGAAATTGAAAGGCTCAAATATATTATTATTAAATGTGAAAAAAGGAATTAGTGAAGCATGGTTTAAAAAGTGCAGACTAAGTTTGTTCGGGTGCATTCTGTACAGAAACAATCATTTGCTTCAGTGGAATAATAATATTTATAATAATACACCAATATCATCTTTATACATGAAAATTCTCAAACACAAGCCTAAAAATTTCCGTACCGTTAGCTTACGTACAAGTGGGAAAAATCCCGGGTACAGGATATTTTGAACTCACCCTGGTCACAGTTGGTTCCCATCCAACCATCCTGGCAGTAACAGCTATACCCGTCCATCCCAGACTGTGAACACTGCCCATACAAACACGGGTTGCGAAAGCAGGGCCCATTTGCTGGAAGTATGAAATATTAAACAAAAAAACTGGAATCACCAGAAGTTATTGCGTCAAAGAGACCCCAAAACATTGAATTCTTTATAAGTGATAATTCTTTTTTTTTTTTTTTTTTTTTTTTTTTTTTTTTTTTTTTTTGTGAACTAGATAGAGGAATGGAATAAAATCTCTCTTGAAAGTACATTAATTACCATTTTCACAAGTCTGTCCGACAAATCCAACTGAACACTCGCACCGGAAGCCGCCATTTTCTTCAAGGCACGTGCCGCCGTTGAAGCAAGGGTACGACTCGCAAGGACTGGTCTCTGTAAGCAGGTGAAAAAAGAGGTGTGCGATTTAGTATAACATGCATGGTGTCATATCATATCATATATAATATGTCGGAAAAGGGAATGAAGCATGGACGAACAGATATACAATCATCAATTTCTTAAAACAAAAATTAGGCCTACGGCTAATAGCTGAGTGGTTGATTGATTTCTAATTACAAGAGATTAATAAAAATTATGGAATATAAGGAATGTTTGAATTACTGAGTACCGCCCTGTAAACCGTACATAGTTAAGTACTCTATGCGTGCCCTATGTGAAGCTTTTTAAAGCCCACACTTAGCTCAGTGACATGCGGCACTACTTTTTCTTCAATATTATGTACTTTGTAGAACAAATATTATGTTGCATGTACTTATGGCTTTCAATTAGATTGGAGGAAGGCACTACTGTTTTCTTTTAAAAAAATATTAAAAGGTTAGACTGATCATATGCCCTTCATACCGACGCAGCCTGTAGCAGTCCTTTTGTACCCAGGTTTGCAAACGCATCTTCCATTTTGAGGTGACCAAGATCCGTCAAAAGAGCAAACTCGCTGCAAAGGCGGGTTGGAAGGATGCGAACCACTTATACAGGACCCTTGCACTGGCGAAGAAGATGGGAATGATTTGGGGAATGATACAAGCACTCCTTGTATAGGCATGCAAATGAAATATGCAACGGATACGAACAGGCCTTGAGTACAACTTCCCGGGTCACGAAGAGCAATCCGTATTTGGTCTGTCACGGAACCTTGTGCACGAGCGGCGGTGACGTTGTACACGACGTCGACGCTGTCAGGGGCGCCCGGAGAACGGAGCTGGATATCTTGAATAAAGTTGACTGCGTCTAGACTGGATGCGTTGGTAGAATTTGTCCCTGGCGGGAAATACCCTGCATACAACTGAATGTAATTCTTGCATTCATCCAAGCTGTATCGTGTATAGTTGCAGGCGTGCATAAGGAAAGATACACGGATGCGCAATGGTAATAATGCACCCAAAGGAAGTTCTGGCGGCAGGGGGATAGGGGGCGACACAAGCCAGTTTTCCTGCCCAGACTCTAGAGTGCACGTTTGGAAGACACTCAGGACTTGTACCTTTTGCCACTGGAAAAAAATAAAATTATGACACCATTAAACGACCAAACACCCAAACTACTGTATGACATGAACTAGTAACCCAACAATTATCAATCAATTAACTGATTACCATTTACATGTAACATAAACCATTTTTCCAATTTAATCAACATCCTTAATTACTGCATGAAGTTAATAAGACGAACTGGTAGAAGTATTGACTTCTTAATTAAATTGATAAAGACATACATGTACATGTATGATGCTGTCGACAAGATTTACTTTTAATAGGGGATGTACTGTGACAGCGTTTGGAAAAAATTGCGTTGTGCAGTGTACTAGTGCATGTTATAACGATACAACATGAATGTAAACATGATTATTCATATAACTCTCTTGTTGCATTGTTCCTGGATACCGCAAAAAATCGATTTTCAGCTGTTTAGAAACGGACATCTGCGTCCTCCACGATGCGACGCCATTATATTGCTGAGAAGCGTTCACGAACGTCTCTCCTGTGAAGCTTACTGCCAGAACGCGATGTGAAACTTATGTTCTTTCCTTTCCCGTCGTTTCTAATGCACTGAGACCTGATGTATTATGAACGAGGGGAAAGGAGGGGAAAGGAGCGAACATAAGTTTCATAAGGTCCAATAGAGGTAATACGCACTTCCGCTCTC